GTGGGTGGGTGGGTGGCTAGTGTGCATGGGTGTGTGTGTTTGTGTGTGTGTATGTTTGTCTGTCTATGTGTCTGTGTATGTGTGTGTGTGCCCCCGTGTTTGTGTGCGTGTCACGTGTTTGTGTCTGTGTTTGCAACAAAATTAAAAAGAGCCCGCGACGAAAAAAAAAAAAAAAAAAACCCACGAAAGCGGGAAATAACGAAAACAAAAGAACAAAAGAGGTCCTGGCAGCGGGAAACGGCAAACTTCGAGGCGCACACGCGGGCAGTCGGGCAGGGTCGCACGCTGTCTACCCGTGTGTTGTTTCTCGGAACTCAACACATTTTCAGTTTTTGCCACTCTTTCGGTTCTCCACACTATACTATCGGCAACCCTGATGAAACCGTGTTACCGGTCCCCCGAATTTCTTGACGTCGGAGGGAGTTGTGGTTTAAAAGAATGAGCCTTCAAAAATAAAAAAATAAAAAATCATTATTGACCCGCCTACCACACTGTGTGACGTTAGACGACCAGTCCCCCCGGCGTGAAAAACCTCGGGGGTACCAGTAGTGGCGTTTCACGACGGGTACCGGTAGTACAGAACGAAAAACCGGACGAGCCTTGAAAATTGAATTTGTGAAAAAACAACGAATCGGCGCGGCGTTTATTTCACGGTCAAAATGATTTTGTTTTATTTTTTCTGATATTTTTCCTTGAAAGATCACAACTTAATCTATGGACCCACAAATTTTCAGGAGATTTGATGAATTCTTCTGAGCTACAAAAATCGCCAAAGTTACCGCTTGCAAATGGCGGGATTGGACCGGGCGGGCCACGAAAATTGACTTCGTGAAAAAAAACGAATCGGCGCGGCGCTTATTTCACGGTCAAAATGATTTTTATTTTTATTTTGATATTTTTCCTTGAAATATCACGACCTGATCTACGAACCCTCAAATTTTCAGACGATTTAATGAAATCTTATGAGCTACAAAAATCGTCAAAGTTACCGCTTGCAAATGGCGGGATTGGACCCGCCGGTGACGAACGGTCGCTGCCCCTCCGTAGAACCCGACCCGAACTCACAGGGACTGGGGGGGTTTGGCAGTTGGGGGACTGGTGGTCTTAACTTTCGACACACAGGCACATCCTGACGTGCCAGCAGCCTGATGCGGATATAGTTCAAAAGAAAGTAGTCCCCTAAAACATACAGGGATCCAGTCCGTCTCAATGGTTATCTCAATGAGCAATTTAGTATTTCAAAATTTGTACGTGGGTTCAAACCCCAACCCGACCACTGCAATCGAACTTCGAATACTTACTAATATATATATATAGTGGGGGCTGTCTTTTCTTTTTCGTTTCCACCCCGCAGAGAAGACAAAAAGAAATGAAAAAAGAAAAAGAAAATGTCACGAAAAAACGAGCAAAAAAAAAAAGAAAAGAAAACAGAAAGAAATATGAGAAAAGGAAAAGAAAAGCAAGCAAAAAGGAAAAGAAAACAATCGAAAAAAATGAAAAAAGGAAAAGAAAAGCAAGCAAAAAGGAAAAGAAAACGACGCAAGGAAAAGAAAACGACGACGCAACGAAAAGAAAACGACGACGCAAGGAAAATAAAACGACGCCGGGAGCGACCGAAAAACAAAAGAGAAAAGGAGAAAACGATGGGGCGAGCGACCAAAAAACAAAAGAGAAAAGGAAACAAAAGAAAAACGACGCGGCAAACGCGCAAACAAAAGCGAGTGAAACAAAAAGAAAAAAGGAAAACAAAAGCAAGCGAAACAAAAAGAAAAGAAAAGCAACCGAAAAACAAAAGGAAAAAGGAAAACTCTATCCGGCGGTGGGCGCTCCAAGATATTCCCTCCTATCGACGCCCGCCGCCGCGTGGCCCTATGGGCACGCTCTTTCGATCTCTGGCGCGCTGTGAACAATTCGGTACGCACACCGCCGCGCCCTCGATTGCCCTTATCCACCGGGCCGAATCAAAAGTTCGGCCCGATTCCGGCGCGCAGCGGAACACGACCTCCCCCCACAGGCCCACCGCGCTTAAGGGGTAGGATAAAATTTTCAGGAAAAAAAAAAAAAAGATACCTCCGGGAGGTGACTTGAATTCAAAGGTGATTTTGGCTGTGTCGCCCTTGAGTTTCAAGGGCGCACCCTTGGGACGCAGAAAAGTGAAAACAAAGCGGATCGCTCTGAGAGGGGGGTGGAACGATGATTTTTCGCTTTGAACGCAAGTGGTGTGGAACGAGGCCCTAAGGCGCAACGTTCGGATTGATCCTGGTCCATTGTTTTGTTTGGGACCCGCCAGGGATCTTTTCGAGCGAAGGGCTGTGAAGATGTGAGGAAAGGTCGCCGATTGGTAAAACAGAACGAGGCTCGCGGCGGTGGGCCTACCGGCCCGGCCCAGCCCGGCCCGACCCGACCGGCCCAGACAGCAGGTTGAAAGAAACAGGCGATGGGCGGGGTTCGAACAGATTGGCAGCGCGCCGTGACTGCTCGAATTCAATGAAGTCGAATTCGAGCGAGTGCTCTTCCCGACCGCACCACACGAGACGGGACTACTCGGTGGATCGTGGAGGGTGCCTTGGAGTGGATAAGCACGAAGCTCATCAGAGGTAAGTGAAGCCGTTCTCTATCTTTCTGCTTTGCTCTCTCTCTGTGTGCCCGTCTGTCTGTCTATCTTTTTGTCTGATTTCGCGCCAACGCGATGCACTCTCGTCATGACTGAATCGGACCGGAAATGTGGCATGACTGTACAAATTGATTGAGGATCAGGGTATGGGGACGACTGCAGCTGTGCGTGTTGTCCTCTCTCTCGCGCGCGCGAGCGCGCACGCGGCCTTACTACCGTCCGTACGCGAATAGAACTGGCGGTGATTGTCGCTGTCTTGATCTAAACCGAGAGTTTGCGGAAACAGACATCAACCACATTTGGCGAAACTACGCGGAGAGAGAGAGAGAGAGAGAGAGAGAGAGAGAGAGAGAGAGAGAGAGAGAGAGAGAGAGAGAGGCGAGATCGTGTGCAACAAGGCCTCGATCGGCCTCTGGGTAACATCGCGTGCGACATTTGGGGGGAAAGACAAGTGGCGGGAAAGAGGCGGGAGGCGCAAACAAATCAAACCAAGCCGTTTGTTTCCTTTTCTTTTAATCATTGATATTATTTATTTTTTTCCTCTCCTGTGCAAACGAAAATCAATCACAGATATCGTCGGCGACTTGATCCTACCCCTACCTCACCACAGTGGCGTGGATCCTACCCTATCGTCTTCGCCCAGATAGAACGCATGGTCAGTATAACTGTGTACCTAGACTTCTCAGCTATTGGTCCCGTGGTTTTTTGAATTGTTAATCGTCATCCAACAATCAAGCAATCAATCAATGAAATCCGTGCTGTACTGAATGGAACATACATACAGTGAAAATAACAAGAAAGAGAAAATAGAAAAAGAAAAACGAGATATACTAAATATCATTTTCTTCCCCATTCACAAGTTGAAAAAACAATCAACACAATCCCCAACTTCCCTCCACTAATGTGGCTACCTACCCATCAGTTGCTGAATGGGTGTTGCCTACCTGGCCGCCAAACTATTACGAGCCCTCTATCCCACCATTATACACCCAGATTCCACTTGGCAGGGATGATTTGGAGAAATGCCGACCGTAGATTCACACCAGTAATAAAGATCGACGGTCATCATCTTTTTGTTTTTGGTTCTTAGGGTCTGTATCTGTTAATCCCGGCTACAGTGGATTGTCGTTGTTGTGTGTGTGTGTATGTGTGTGCGTGTGTGTGATCGACGGTCATCATCTTTTTGTTTTTGGTTTTTAGGGTCTGTATCTGTTAAGCCCGGCTACAATGGATTGTCGTTGTTGTGTGTGTGTGTGTGTGTGTGTGTGTGTGTGTGTGTGTGAGAGAGAGAGAGAGAGAGAGAGAGAGAGAGAGAGAGAGAGAGAGAGAGAGAGATCAGCGTTCTGCTTTTGTCTCCTTCATCCTACAGTACATGATCTGCCTTTCCATGCAGTTCGATTATTTTTCTCTTTCGCATTTTGTGTTTTGGCTCCTCGTAGTGTCAAAGGCATTGCGCGCCAAAAGAGGCCAAATATTTGACGGAAATGAACGTCGCTAGAAAAGACGAGTACAATGATGACCTACCGTCTTCTCCCGAATAGAACGCCCGGTCATTGTCGCTGCACGTAGACTGAAAATTGCCCTAAATACAGTAATAAGTACCGGGCGTTCTATTCGGGTTCGGGGGGGGGGGGGGGGAGGGGGGAGACCGTGGTTGAAGGTCGGGAGGTATCAGAAGTGGGTAACGTGCAGGTAACACGGACAAATAGAATGCCCGGCGGCCATTATAGCTGTATTTTGGGCAACTTTCAGTTTAGATGCACAGCGCATATTGACCGATCACGTTACTCACGTCTAGGAAGGGGAGACATGGGAGATGAGCTAAGCGAAAAGAAAAGAAAAAAGGAAAAAAGGCTGAAGGGGGAAGGGGACAGAGGTAAGGCGATGATGATAATGGTGACCGAGTCCATGGGCCTTCCGCTTCCACTACCCACCAAATGTGCAAAACGAGAATGAATCTTCCGCTCGAACATGGAAAGATACACCGCCATAGTTTTTGTCTTCTGTGCATGTGGTGAGTAGTTGAGCGACGCCCCATGTATGTGGCGGAATGGGATGGAACGGTATAAGCCAAGAACTGTTGTATTTTTTTTATAACGAGGCCTGAGTTCGAATCCTGACGAATGGATCAGACAAATGAAATAACTCTGAATTACGTGGGCCTTTCAAGATCGACGAGGATACCTCAAGGTCGTTGCCCTCTTTTTTGGTTCTTCTAAGAAAAAAGAGGACGAGGAGGAGGCGACTGAGTAGTAGTAGTAGTAGTAGGAGGAGGAGGCGAAGGAGATATTAAAGGTGAGGGAGAAGAGAAGGGGGAGGAGCAGGAGGAGGATGTGAGTTTTCGACAGCAGGTAACCACTCTCGTGATGAGCACTCCCCATCCGAAGTGCACACCTCCGCGGAACACTGCTAACAAACCACTTCGCACAGTCTTCACCCTCTGCCCCTGAGATCTTTCTCTCTCTCACTCTCTCTCTCTCTCACTCTCTCTCTCTTTCTCTCTCTCTCTCTCTTTCTCTCTCTCTCTTTCTCTCTCTCTCTTTCTCTCTCTCTCTCTTTCTCTCTCTCTCTCTTTTTCTCTCTCTCTCTCTCTCTTGTAGTCGTGCCTGTTGTTTTTGATAGGAAAAAAAAACTTGAAGAGCAATCTAGCGACATCCCATACACACGCGTCGTTCTACTGTAGTCGTTGGTTTTTGTTTCCCCCCCCTCCCCCGAAATCCATCCATCAAACCAACCAAAGAGTATCGTCCTCCCTCGAATAGAACGTACAGCCATTATCGCTGTATCGAGACGGAAAGCCAATGATTTGTGTGTGTCTCTGTCTCTGTCCCTCTGCTCTCCCTCTCTCTCTCTTTCCCCCCCCCCCCATATCTCTCCCCATATAATGGGGGGGGGCGGGGGAAGAGAGAGAGAGAGAGAGAGAGAGAGAGAGAGAGAGAGAGAGAGAGAGAGAGAGAGAGAGAGAGAGAGAGCATTTCTCTGTCTCGTTCTCTCTTTCTTTCTTTCTGTCTGAAGCTTAGGCACTGCTGCGGCGCTTTACCTGCGTCACGTTGTAGCGTCGTTTCCGAGAACGAATGAATGTCGGAGAAGACTCTGCCCAGCCTCACGCTTGCGGCTCGACAGTGATGTGCGACAGTGCGCGGCCAGGATGCCGGCCCCCACGATGTGCCCTTTCACGCAGTCGTATACACACACGCACACACACTCTTGACCGTACACCGCTTATCATTCATCTTCGGCGGGGTAGAAGCGCGCCGAGCAGTGCGGGTGGCGAAGAAGCGCGCCGAGGAGCGCACACACACATCATGCCCGCTTTTATATCCTCTGACTGTGGCCGCTGATCAGCGACCAGCAGCAGGCGAGAGAAGACTCCTGAGCTAGGACCTACCCGTCCTCCCCCAAGCACAACGCACCCACATTTTGTATGTATACAAGTAGCTTTCCGGTCTGACACGGTCAAGATGAGAGTGCATTGTATTCGGCGGCAGATGATGATCACGACACAACTCCTTGATCGAATGACACATCGTCATTCGTATCGCATGAGACATCATTCGTTTATTCTTCTTCGTTCTGCGTTCGTCTTCGTGTTGCTCGTCTTCTCTTCTTCTTCTTCTTCTTCTTCTTCTTTGTCTTCTTCTTCTTCTTGGTCTTCTTCTTTTTCTTCTTCTTTCTCTTTTTTGTTTTCTTTTTCCTTTTCTCTCTCCACGGCTTGTCAACATTTGCTAGGGTAGTGGTAGGTAGCTAGTGAAAGGTGAGATTAAGCGAAGAATATATAGCTAGCTTAGTTTTAGGAGAAAAAAAGATTTGCCAGCGCTACCAGTCCGCCCCGAACGCAACGCACCTCGATGATGATGCATACGAGAGCCAATTTTCCAGTGCGATACGGTGATGATCAGGGTGCGTTGTGTTCGGGGGAAGACTGTAGTCGGAGACTGGCGGGAAAATGCCCGCTGTTAGGATGGTACCCCCCGTCTCCTGCCCTTCGGGGGCGGCCTCGCTCGGCCGCTCACCAAATGTGCAAATCGAGAACGAATCTTCCGCTAGAACATTGAAAGGTACGCGGCCATATTGAAAGGGTCTTTTATGCATGCCGTGAGCAGTGGAGCGAGGCCCTAAGAATTTCCAGGGGGCGTCGCAACAGATCACACCATTTCCCGCCGCCTCACCTGCTTTTGTCTGTCGTTCTTTTTTTCTGCGACCGACAGATGAGAGCAATCGCTTGGTTCAAAAAAAAAAGAAAAAAAGAATGGAATCCCTCGGTTCATCGGAATGTGCACAGGTGGCATCAATCGATCAATCAATCGAAGAAAGAGACTCCGATGAGCCAATGTTGCCAAGTGCGCACACCCCGATGAACCAAGGGATTCCCTTTTTTTTTAATTTGAACCAAGGGATTGCTCTCATCTGTTGGTCACAGGAAACAAAAAACAAAAGAAATAAGCAGGTGAGGCGGTGGGAAATGATGAGCGGAACAAACTTCGCGCGCAGGCGGAAAGGGTTGGCGTAACGAGGTAATGTGGAGAGCGGGCCAAGGAATCCATACGTTAGTTGAGCGGCCCAAGGAACGCGGTCATCTTAGGAGGTCATTATAGCTGTATTTGGGGCAACTTTCAGTCTAGATACAGGGATTCTGTTCGGGGGAAGAGCAGCTCCGATCCATCGATCAAACGACCGCTCTATATAAAGACGAGCGGGCCAAGGAATACGTGGCAGCATCCATCGATGTATCCGGATCGGTCGATCTATAAAAAGAAGCATTTCTTCGCAATTTTTGTTCTTTATTTATTGTGATAATAATNTATCCGGATCGGTCGATCTATAAAAAGAAGCATTTCTTCGCAATTTTTGTTCTTTATTTATTGTGATAATAATCACATGCAGAGCGCGGCAAGGAATGTGTGTGTCCTCCTCACGGCTGCGCAAGGAATGTGGTGGCGTTCGAAACCAACCTTTAATCAATCAGCCAATCAATCAATCAAT